CGACAAGCTACAAGAGGACTGAAAACGTGATCGGTTTAGGATTTCCAAGGGTGGACTCGTTCCGTGGCGGCTAGAAAATTCCCCCTGGCTCCGATGCTGCTCATATTACCATGGCGTTTCGCGTCCCACTGGTCCTGCGAGACAAGACAAACGATCGGTACGGGCCGATAAAACGATGCCCGTGCTCGATTTATCGCCACGAAACGGGACAATGTCGTCGTCCGAGCGTGCTGACCAACGCCAATTTGCGTATTTCAAACCGGGCGAAATTGGAACTTTAGTGGCGCGTGTCACGTTACCGCTAACTTTTCCCTCTAACTTGCTCGATATTATCGGCCCGCGATTTGCATTAATTATCGTGCTAGCATGATACGTCTGCCTGTATAGGCATGATCGATGCATCTCATGGTGAAACGCGTAACTCAGTCTTTGCGATCGAAGTAGTCGAAATTCAACCGAGATAAATCAGGACTGGTACTTCTCGGTTTGGTATTTCAAATAGGGACGTTAGGGTTTTCATTCGTGGATTTTTTTATTCAAGAACTTCATCGACACTGCATTTGGGTGAAATTGCATTACGTAACTTTTCTAGGACCTTGTATTTTACAAGCTTTTATTTTGATTTTCTGTGACTACCTCAACTCGACTATGTGCCTTTATAAAATCTTCTTGCAGAGTTTTCCAAATTTTTCTTAGTCGAAATTCAATCGCTATAAATCAAGATTGAAACTGCTTTTCCATTTGGTATTTCTTCGCTCTTCAAATCGGGACGTTAGTTTTTTCATTCATGGACTTCTTCACTCAGGAACTTCATCGACACTGCATTTGGGTGAAATTGCATTACGTAACTTTTCTAGGATCTTGTATTTTACAAGCTTTTATTTTGATTTTCAGTGACAACCTCAACTCGACTATGTGCCTTTATAAAATCTTCTTGCAGAATTTTCCAAACTTTTCTTAGTCGAAATTCAATCGCTATAAATCAAGATTGGTACTGCTTCTCCATTTGGTACTTCTTCACTCTTCAAATCGGGACTTTAGTTAGACTTTTCCACTCAGGGACTTCATCGACACTTCATTTGGGTTAAATTGTATTAAGTAATATTTCTAAGGCCCTGTATTTTACAAGCTTTTATTTTGATTTTCACTGACTACCTCAACTCAACACGTCTCTATAAAATTTTCCTACAAATACAAAGTGTAGTTCTCCAAATTTCTAAGACCTCCGTACGCTCCGAACCATTTCCTGCGACGCGAAACGCCGGATACAAACATTTTTTCGCCGAAAATTTATTAGCGATTCGTGATTCACTCAGTGGGGATGCCGGCCCGCTTATTTCTGAGCCGCCATCCCTCGCCCCTCGGCCATTCTCCTTTTTCCAGGGCTTAATTGACAAACGATATTGCTCGCGACGAGTTATCGCGGCATATGCATACGTCGGGAGATGGTCGTATTTTATTTTTGTATCGCCGGCTGACAAACACGTGTTGCACCCGAAACCTTGGCCCGAATCGCTGGTTATTCGGTCAGTACATTATTGTTGTACTCGTCTTCTGTGTTCCGAGATTCGTCTAATTTTGATCCGACTTAATTCTCCTTCATTTCAGGATGTTGGGTCTGATGCATCAGTGACGTAGACTTTGGGGTTTGACAATTTTTTATGTTATCAAATTAATTTCTACTTCGAGAACTCATTTTGGAGCATCGGTTCTGGTGCATCAGTGACGTAGACTTTGGGGTTTGACAATTTTTTGTGTTATCAAATTAATTTCTCCTTCGAGAACTCATTTCGGAGTATCGGTTCTGGTGCATCAGTGACGTAGACTTTGGGGTTTGAGAATTTGTTATGTTATCAAATTAATTTCTTCGAGAGCTCATTCCGGAGTATCGGTTTTGATGCATCAGTGACGTAGACTTTGGTGTCTGACAATTTTTTATGTTATCAAATTAATTTCTCCTTCGAGAACTCGTATTAGAGTATCGGTTCTGATGCATCAGTGACGTAGACTTTGGGGTTTGACAATTGTTTATGTTATCAAATTAATTTCTCCTTCGAGAACTCGTATTAGAGTATCGGTTCTGGTGCATGAGTGACGTAGACTTTGGTGTCTGACAATTTTTTATGTTATCAAATTAATTTCTCCTTTGAGAAATCATTTCGGAGCATCGGTTCTGATGCATCAGTGACGTAGGCTTTGGTGTCTGATAACTTTTTATAATATCAAATTAATTTCTCCTTCGAGAACTCATTTTAGGTAGAATATCGGTTCTGATTCAACAATGACAGAAAGTTTGGTGTCTGAATATTTCTTATATTATCAAATTAAATTTTAAACTAGTTTACAGAGTTTGGAACTGTAAAGATATAAAATGTCTTCATCTCAAAAATTTGCAAACTACTCCTCTATAAAAAATTTGATAACAAATAATTTTCGCAAGAGTTTAAAAAGTTTTCCAACATAGAATGAAAATATACTTCAGACTCTGAAATTCTCGAAAGTTGAAATGCGTATCTACCTATTTGTTCTAACAACCGATGCGAGTAATAAGGTAGACAGCTAATGATAGTTCGCTCCGTTGTTTGGAGTCCCTATTTTGCCTGGAATTTTACTTGGAAGAGGTAGATTTTCTTTCTGTAACAGGTTGATTGCTACGTGATCGAGCTTCGACTCTATAATGGAAGATAACTAACGATATCCTCCTTCGATTTGAAGATCGTTCGTGTCTGATTGTTCTTTTCAGAACTCTACTTTGTAAGTTTCTTTCTTAGGCATATAAATGATCTTGTTCACGAGCGATAAAGGTAGATTGAATGATAGCCTGGTTTCGAATCTTTTTGTTTCCATTCTACGTAGACTTTCTTTTAACAATGTTACGAATGAGATTAATAGACGAAAACGTATTGTTTGTTTTGGATTATTCTCAGATTCCTTTTTCTTTGCAGGTTGATTGCTGGATGACTGAGCTTCCGTTCGATTGATAATGAAAGATCGCTACCGATAACCTAGATTGATTCAACGTTCTTTTTATTTGAAATTCTCTTGTTAGCAGATTTTTCAAACAGGCTGTTCGACACGGTGATCGACGCCGCGTAATTGATTAATTACGAGGCAGGAAATGATAGAGGATTCCGGATATCATTCGCGTATCATTAATAATATCGAATAGCAAACTAAATAATCGCACGAAAAAATATAGCCGTTTTCACTCTGGCAACGATAATTTATCCTTTTTTTATTTAAAAGATGCAGTCGTTGAATGCGCGAATTATCGCTCGATCTAATTGGAATATCAATTGGCCGGTGAAAGTTTCGTTTAAGTATCGGAAGAAAATCGAAATTGAAAAATAAAGCGGAGTGCACTTTTAGCGATTTATCGAGAAAACAATTAATTTCAAATTTTATGAGAACGTATGTTTATTTATACGTTTGCTTATTTAATACAATAAAGCCCAGTAATTAATAGGGTAATTTTTAGTTCCAAAATTTTGACGATTTACCGGAAAGCAACTGGAAGTCGGGGAAGAAATTAGTCACAGATTTAACAAAAGAATTTTATTCTTTCTCAATGTACGATAACAAGTGACTAGCACTTAAAATACAGCGATCGATATCGGCCAGAATCCACCAGAGAGAGAAGAAAACAGAATTACATCGGGATGCACACTCACGCCCGTTAGATTCTCCTCGATATTCGCGCATCGTTCTGGAATGTATCGATTTTTTTAGGCACGCTCTGGAAGCACATATACAAGTATACTTTCATCCCTCGTCGACACGTGGCTCGCAAGCAAACCTTTCTCACCCCCTTAACAACAATATTTACCATCCAACAATTTTCACGGACCTTTTCGGCGCTGCGCAAATATTTACCTCCAGCTTGATCGCGGGTATAAAAATACAAAAAAAAGAGGGAAAAGAAGGAACAAGTGAGAACACGCGAAAAGGTGAGCTTGCGAGCTGTTACGTGAACATCTCGAAAGGCACTGAAAACTCTATTTACGTACACGACTTACGCTTAAGATCCTTAAACTCGACGTGTTTAACCGTAGTAAAAAAAAACAAAGAAACGATCATCTTTTTACAAAAAAAAGAAAATGCTCCAACCTGGTCAGTTGTTCTGTCGCGAGAAAAGGCGCGACGATTAGGGAGAATTCGTATGCGATTACCTTAAGGCTTGTGCTACTTGAAACAACGCGTTACTTCGCTAGGGTACGATAAGAGGAACCTTTCGAAAGTACCCTTTGGTTAGAAAAAATAAATACAATACAATTACTACATTAATTTTTCAGAAGTACCCCAAGATCGCGTACGTTAAGATTGAATTTAAAAATCAACAAATTTGGAAATATTAAAAGGGTTTTTGGTAAAGTTTATATCGGTATTGAACGTGGGAAGTGTTTGCAACGCGAGAGTAAAGCACGATGCCTGAAGGTATCGAATAAACGGATCGATTGGTGATTTATGCGAGGATAAATACACTCGAGGGACTACGAGCTCCCTTCTCCCTGTTTGCTTAACAACTACATTATCGACCGACATATCGATTCTTCTCCGATTGCTCTATTCGGCAAACGCTATGTACACTTAGGCTACTTTCAGTAGGAACATTAAGGTCGAATCGATTTTCCACACGGAACTCGGAAGTGTCGATATCGAGAACGGAAACTCGCGTCTCGTTTCAATTCCAGCTTCGGATCTTGGGAAACGACGAGAATAACAATTTTGAAAAATCTGCAAAATTGTAACTCGATTTTAGTAATAATGTATAGTTTATAGAACTATACATTTATGACTTCACAAAAGAAAAATCTTGATATTTGCAGAAAAAAAATTCCACGTTGGATCGTTTAACAAATCCGTTTAATAAAACAAACTTCGTGAACGTTGCGTAAAATGAAAACTGTTTACACTATTATCACATAATATAATCGTTTATTTGTGCGTCAGTCCGTTGACATTATACCCGCGATTTGTCAACAGTTTGCATACCACGACTTATGAAACGACCAAACGGGTTATCAAAAATCAATAATTGCGATCGATTCTCGTCGTTTCTCGTCGGAGGAGATCGTTTTCGATTCCCTCGTTCCGATCGCGTTAAACAAATATATTTTTTCTCTATACGCGATCGAATAACGCAACGCGTTCACGAACTCCACGTTCGATGGAGAGTAAATTTGAAAGACTTTCGGGCTTGTTTTCAAAGGCGACGCCAGTCCCCGCGCTCAGAGCCCGTTTCCGGTTCCGCGATGAAGAAACGAGCTCAGAATCGGCAAAATTCGTCGCTTGCGGCGATAAACCGAGAGCGAATATAGCACGAAACGCAAACACGTGATCTCATCAGGTGATCCGAAAAATGTTATTCAACGCTATCGATTTCAATTAAATCAAATGTCGCAAATTATTTTTAAAAAAATCTGTGTATATTTGTATAAACCGAACGATTTCGCAAACGTTAAAAATGCGATGGGTAACTGTTTCCAGGAACCGAAGTTCCTTCGAAATTCTGTTAACATAAAATTGCAGCAGCTGGAAAAAAGAAAGGTCGCGTGATACTTACGATAGCATTGAATTGTAACGGTGTTAATTGTAATTATTAAAAGTCGGCATACGCAACGCTCGAGACCTCAATTTCTCAATAACAACAAATGTAAATTAATGACTCGACAAACAAATAAATAAGCTAACTTTATTAACGACCGACTCCGATCGTTCCATAAGTAATGTTGCACCGATAGATTTTAATCGAATAACTTTTCAAGAGTATTTTTGTAGAAGTTACCCGAACATTATTTATGGAACTCGATGATCAACCTGATGAGAGTCAACGCTATTCCTTTCATTCCGATGCTCTCAGAAATAATTCTGGTCAAAATTTTCCGGGTTTGTTCAGTTTCTTCCTTCGAATTAAGGCTTCTGAGAAGCATCGCTCATCCGGAACACCCTTTAAAGCTACAGTATTAGTCGTTCAGGAACAGCTTAGTCGCCATACTCGTATAGTTGGTGAAAACAATATAGCTGAATCATAAATTAAATACGTAGCCATCAAGTACATTGATGATCAAGTACATTTGTACTTTGCAATATCATTTAAAATCTGAGACAACGATCGGAAAGGTAATTCCAAGCTAGTCCACACGACCCTGAACAAGGTTGATAAGATTCGGTAAAAATTTGATGTCCTAAATGAAACAAATTTGGAAAATTCGACGCTTGCAGTTATTTGGTGAGGTAATATTTTGGAGGTCGAAGTAATCGGCTACAGTATTTCCACCAACTGTACCTGGTCGTTCGACGTCTCCACGCCTGGGCCGGCGCTGGATTCACCCTGGAAGGCTATCACTCCGACATAAGGGTAGAAAAAGAAACACGAGACAAATAATCGCGGTTACAAAGAGAAAGGATAGGTAAGTAGACGGAGGGTATCTCGTACGGCATTACACTCCGTTTCCATTTCGATTTCACGAGCCATTCGTCGTTTCCACGGTCGCGGCAGTCTTTCACACGGCCCGTTGCTCGATCCATCCAGCGTATTCTCACGAGTGTCCCTGCTGCCGGATGCCGAACGAAACGACGTCTCTAGGATCTCACGCCAGGCCAATTTCCCAGCGAATCGTTCCCGATCGATCCTGCGTGAATAGCCAGGGACGCGCATCCTGCACCCTCTCCGACCGATCCGGAGGACGCGACGAGTCCTTGCAAGTTTCGCCTTCTCGTTACCTGACTGCGAGCCTCTTCTCTCATCGAAGGACGCGTCGGTTGCTCGTCAATTGGCCAACAAAGATATCCTTCGAAGTCCCGGTCAGCGGTTCGAGTACACGTTGCTGCTGAGAACCACCACGTCGGTTCTCCTGCCTGGTTCGTCACGACCTCCGAGGAGGAGGGCGCAGAGGAGGCGTCATATGCTCAACGAGGGCCTCTTCTTCCGGTCTTTCGTCGTGTTCTTCCCGAAGATCGTTCCCAGTACCCTGGACACCGAGTGCACGCCCAATTTCCGGCGGATCGGCAACGCTCGGAGCAGCTGCACCGATCTGGCTTCCCGGAGCAGCTAGTCGTTCAGGAACAGCTTAGTCGCCATACTCGTATAGTTGGTGAAAACAATATAGCTGAATCATAAATTAAATACGTAGCCATCAAGTACATTGATGATCAAGTACATTTGTACTTTGCAATATCATTTAAAATCTGAGACAACGATCGGAAAGGTAATTCCAAGCTAGTCCACACGACCCTGAACAAGGTTGATAAGATTCGGTAAAAATTTGATGTCCTAAATGAAACAAATTTGGAAAATTCGACGCTTGCAGTTATTTGGTGAGGTAATATTTTGGAGGTCGAAGTAATCGGCTACAGTATTTCCACCAACTGTACCTGGTCGTTCGACGTCTCCACGCCTGGGCCGGCGCTGGATTCACCCTGGAAGGCTATCACTCCGACATAAGGGTAGAAAAAGAAACACGAGACAAATAATCGCGGTTACAAAGAGAAAGGATAGGTAAGTAGACGGAGGGTATCTCGTACGGCATTACACTCCGTTTCCATTTCGATTTCACGAGCCATTCGTCGTTTCCACGGTCGCGGCAGTCTTTCACACGGCCCGTTGCTCGATCCATCCAGCGTATTCTCACGAGTGTCCCTGCTGCCGGATGCCGAACGAAACGACGTCTCTAGGATCTCACGCCAGGCCAATTTCCCAGCGAATCGTTCCCGATCGATCCTGCGTGAATAGCCAGGGACGCGCATCCTGCACCCTCTCCGACCGATCCGGAGGACGCGACGAGTCCTTGCAAGTTTCGCCTTCTCGTTACCTGACTGCGAGCCTCTTCTCTCATCGAAGGACGCGTCGGTTGCTCGTCAATTGGCCAACAAAGATATCCTTCGAAGTCCCGGTCAGCGGTTCGAGTACACGTTGCTGCTGAGAACCACCACGTCGGTTCTCCTGCCTGGTTCGTCACGACCTCCGAGGAGGAGGGCGCAGAGGAGGCGTCATATGCTCAACGAGGGCCTCTTCTTCCGGTCTTTCGTCGTGTTCTTCCCGAAGATCGTTCCCAGTACCCTGGACACCGAGTGCACGCCCAATTTCCGGCGGATCGGCAACGCTCGGAGCAGCTGCACCGATCTGGCTTCCCGGAGCAGCGCCTGGAACGCCAACGCTGCTCCCGCGGGACTCTCCGCGGCGCTGACCTCGTAGAACTGGCACCCGTGGACGAGCGATAGCTGCTGACCCTCGTCCACGCATACTTCTCTGTAACAGACAATGTAGGACCATTGATAAACTAAGTAGTTCGCGTTTATTTTCAAGAATTCGAATAACGTTTGACTCATCGGAGCTAAAGAAATATAGCGCTGAACGATCGGCGCTAAAAAATACGTCACCGATCAGGAATGCGTTCGAAGGAGACAAAGAATTTTTTATCGGACAGAGCGAGAAAAATGGTGATGCGGGACGAATCGCGAGAAGGTGACGTTTCTTTCGCAACACGCGGAGCCCGTAAATTTCCGGACAGGGAGAAAAAGAGCCGGGGGATCAACGGAAGCTGTCAAGGTCCGCGAGGAGGATCGAAGCCAGTGGACGGGTCACGACTTCTTGGCAAACAGCGTTCCGCTCGAACGGAAGCAGAGGGAGGTGATTGAACGCGGCCATAAACGAACGAGGAAAAGAAACGGAGAAGCTGGAATTTCGCCAACCTGAACGCGACACGGTTACAATTATTTAACACGTTCTATTCAACTTTTTGCTATCGTAGCTACAGGAATTCCAGGCATCTCTTCGACGTCCAATTTTCGAACGTCTTCTGTAGGATTCTCGAAAATTTTCTCCCGTAAATTTTCGACCTTGCGTACCTGCTCGTAAAGCAACGATAAAATAAAAGCGGACAGATTAACGGCCGTGAACGTGGTGTCTGCTCGCGTGTGCATGCATACGAGACTCGTGCGAGCGATTAGACGTGTGCACGGCCCTCCCACGCGCCACGATGCTTTCCTTCCTCCATTTCAACCCCCCTGCCCTTCCATTTTCTTTCTCTCTCTGCTCGATCTTCCGAGAGTATCGTGTGTTCCCGCGAATTTAATTGCCTCCATAAATATCTGGGCTCTTCCCTTTCCCTTCGACTGAAATACGGCCGATCTTCCTTTTCACCCCTTCTTATTCCCTCTAGATAGTTACCCACTCGTGCTTTGTAGTTTCAATTTTTTTCTTGGGGTGATTGCTAATTTTCCTGGAGAACCGGAGAACTGTATGACTTGTGAAATTTTTAATTTTAACTTTCTGAGCTGTTGAAGAAAAACTCGACACCCGTTATGTTTACTTTGTGTCTATACGCTAGAGGGGATGAGCTTATTAGATGTTTTACGGAGTCGGTTACAAACTCGTGAGTGTGCCAGTCTTGTTCTTTGTGTTCTTAATTTTCTATGTTATTAAATATTTTTCTTGAAACTGGACTGTTTGCTTTTAACCAAATAACTACATGAGCTATACATTCTACTTGTATTTTATGACTGAGGATATTCTAGTCGAAAATTCCTTTTGAGCACGCGATTAGAACTAAACTGATTAGAAGTAAACATGTGATACAAGGATGTCAGATATTTTAGAAAAAGCGAAACGTTCTCAATTAAGGTGTTGAAGTAAGTGCCGAGAGGTTCAAGTCAGTTCTTTTACGAAAGGCATCCTTGCCTCCCCACTTCGTGGCCAGATCCTTGAAGAACAATATCCTTATTCCTCTAAGCAATGCAATAACTGCCTGCCTTTTCTACAGTCTCACAAAACAGCCTTGCGACATCCGATGACCACGCGACTCCAAGTCAATAGCCATCGTCTGTCGCCTCAATTGGACTCTCATAAACTTTCGCTCAGACCTCACGCAGTCTATCCCTATCATTCAATCGTTCAAACGCAAAATAGCACAGGCTAATTGCAGACGAGCCTCCAAAATACGTTCTCGCTAACATACCAGATTAAGAGTAAAAAAATTCCTGTTGAGCACACGATTAGAACTAAACACGACATGTGATACAAGGAGCACCCTAAGTGAATGTAAAGAAGAAAATCCTAATTTCGCTGGATCATGACCTCGAACAGTGAACCGCGAGCGGAGCAAGGAAAATGAAACACGGTCGTTTTGGAATCCTTTTTGGAGCGTTTTGCAGCGCGATCCGTCGGTGAACCAGTTTGCCATCGGAGCGGTTAGAGCGTGTGAGCTGCCGAGGGATTCGCCAGCTGATATCTCGCGATAAGTTTATCGATGGACGATATTCGCGGCCGGACGCCGCCTCGGATGTATTCTAAAGCGGCGATAACTCGTTCCCGGGAGAGTGGTTTCACCAGCCCTGCAGCACCAGCCTTCCTTCTAATCTTTATGAACTCCATTAAGACGGTCGTGCCGGCTACTGGTTAGATCGTAGCGCCTCTGCCATCGAAACGACCCGCCTGACCACACCGCGCTTCGATCTTCTGTCTTTGAAAAACTGCCGCCTCTCGATATAAATTTAATTAGTTGCCGGCATTACCGGTCGGGCGAATCGAGGAAACTCGTGAATCTGCCCAGTTTCGCTTGGATGAGCTTCCCTGACGAAAATGGGGACGCTTGATCTATAATTTCGTTACGAATTTGAAGCCACTTCCTGCATTTTGTCTTCCTAAACAATCGAAAACTTGTCCCTTGTAGGAAGAGTTGCCGAGCATCATCGAAGGTACTCCTTTTTCCGACAGAGTTGACGGTTCTTTCTGGTCGTTTGAGCGACAGCTGGAATTGCGACGGGCGATCGTTCGCCTGGCGCCAAGTAGAAAGCACGTGTCTCGCGCAAATGGAGGAACAAGAGTCAGCAGTTGATATGTAGGTGAACAATGTTCCGATACCGGGGAAAGAAGGAGTTTTAGTCCGTGGTTACGGTTTCTTGGTTTCCACGGGAGAGATCGACGGTTTGTCAATTGTGGAACATCAAAAGGACATCAGAATTGACAAGTTTTCTAATAAACCATACCTAGTGCTCTGCAGAGGTTCAGAAAAATATCCTAATCTTTACGACCGACAGAAAAGCAATGAAACGTAAAATCTGAAGGTGTCAGGATAATGATTATTTGATAATTCATCGAAATGCAGCAGGTATGCAAAGCTTGTTCGTAAATGAATATAGGAACACGAGCGACCGGTAAAAAAATGGAAACGTGTCTTCGCTAACGACGATCCGCATTCCTACAGGGATCGCCCAGGAAATTCCTGTTTCAGGGCTGCAACCTCGAAGGGATATCGATATCCGGTTCACCTACGTGTCACTGGCTTTTCTGCTCGCTTATAGCGAGCTTATTCCTGTCAATTTCAATTTCTTCCACGATCTATAATCTCGATAACGATTCTTTTGCAAAGCTTAAACTTTGTTTCGTAAACCGAGAGCAAAACGAGATCGAGTGAAATTTTCCACGAACTCGATTTTCCACGAGTAGAAACTTCTCCGTTTCGCAGCATATTCGCATCGTTTAAATTACAACACCTGCGCTATCGTGTCGTTTCACCGTTCGAGATAGCGGAATAACCGCTGATTTTCTATTTTAAAACGATCGAACGACGTTCAGCGATCCATCAATCTTGGAACGATCGTTTTTAAGGGAGCATCGAGGAACTGGAAATGAAAGGTTATCGCAGGGTGGCAACGATAAGGACTACCGTTTGCCAGCTTTCTCTCGTTTCTTTCACGCAAAACACGCAAAGCTACGATTCACTCTTGAGTTACGGACACCGACCGCTGAGAGGACACAAAAGACGAGCGATTTGCATATGAAACGAGACCAAGGATCTTTCCAACGGATTTCGACGATAAAAAGGTCTACCAACGTTTAATCATCCGTCTGAGTCAATGTCTCCCGGATCGTGGAATTCGTAAATACATTTCAATAACAATAACGATGTAAATATATTAATGGACAGAGGCGACTACGAAGGCAATCGATATCTTAATCGTTAAATTCAATTAAATTTCCACCATTCCGATAGCGATCTAAATAGCCCAAGACAATTTACACCCACCGATATAAATCATTTCCGAATGCAGTTTACAGTTCACCGAGTCGCGGACAACGTTAAGGAACAAGTGTCCTGAATGAGTGTCGCGGCTCTTATCGACCCGGAATTCATTCCCATTAGCTATCGGTTATTATTCAGAAATGGCGTATCCTGACAAGGTTAATAAGCGGCCAATCTTTATCGGAAACGCTCGATAAAAAAGTACGTTCGACTGGTTCGCACGATTTCCTAGCTTTCTCTCCTGTCCGAATCACGCAACGACGGTGATGCACTGTACATTGCGGTGGATTGCGTAAATCTTGAGCCACATTTCGATTAATAATCCCGGCCGGGTATACATTTTCAAACTTCAGGAGGGAATATGCAAAGTTAAGCCGTAAAATAACAAAGTTATAGGTGTAGGTTTCTTAGTGAAGACTAGTTGCTGGGAATATATTGATACTTTGTGAGGTACGAACGAGGAACTCGACTGGTTTTCGAAAGGGAAGCTCGTTTGAGGACGTATGTGGCCCAAGTCAGTGGTCCATTTAATTCCTTAACGTAAAATTTATTTTTGGCGGATGTATAGATCAAAACTATTCATAGTTATCAATATTGAAGCGAACGAAGGAAATAAAAATCTGAGTACTTTATATGCAACGATCCTTCACTGTACAAATCACAGTTGGGCCCAAATATCAAGCTGAAAGGTATTCAAAATTTGAGAAAGGTTCATTACGTTGCTGTGAGTACATCACGAGTGAAAATAAAAATCTGAGAGCATTATATGCAACGATGCTTCACTGTACAAATCACAGTTGGACCTAAATATCAAGCTGAAAGGTATTCAAAATTTGAGAAAGGTTCATTACGTTGCTGTGAGTACATCACGAGAGAAAATAAAAATCTGAGTGCATTATATGCAACGATCCTTCACTTTACAAATCACAGTTGGGTCTAAATGTCAAGCTGAAGGGTATTCAAAATTTGAGCGAGGTTCACTACATTGCTGTGAGAACATCACGAGTGAAAATAAAAATCTGAGAGCATTATATGCAACGATCCTTCACTTTACAAATCACAGTTGGATCTAAATGTCAAGCTGAAAGGTATTCAAAATTTGAGAAAGGTTCATTACGTTGCTGTGAGTACATCACGAGTGAAAATAAAAATCTGAGTGCATTATATGCAACGATCCTTCACTGTACAAATCACAGTTGGGCCCAAATATCAAGCTGAAGGGTATTTAAAATTTGAGCGAGGTTCATCACATTGCTGTGAGTACATCACGAGTGAGACTCTTCAAAGTATAGCAAGTATTAAACAAATTTAATAAAATTTTTAGCAGACCTGTCTGTTAGGTCCCAACTAAAATTGCCAGCAGATGGCTAATAGTTTAACATGTTTACGAATATCTCATAATGGGTGAAAAGTTTGGAAAGCCGAAAGCGATGGTAGGTCAACAGGGAAACGTTAGATTTCGCGTGCGCCACGCGATTCGCAGCTACCGGAGTGTTTTTTCCTGTCACCTGCTCTCTCATCGCGAGCGTTCGCGCGCGGACGAGATGATCAACGCTGGATCAATGGCGTGAAACGCGAAACGAGGCGCCACACCGACCGCACTCCGACACCGGAGACCATTTCGAGCACGACACCCGGTAGTGGTCGAGTGGTCGTTCTGGTCGCTCACCTAGAAACCGTTCACGCGATCTCCTCGCTCGGCTGATCTGTTTACGCGCGACGCTTTGGCCGACTTGGCCAGAGACCTCGTCGCCGACCGATTTTAGCCCTCGTCTCGTCGACGAGGGTGAACCACGATGACTCTTCGATCCGACGTTCAAAGCGCATTTAGCCGCGATTAGTCTCGACCTACGAATACGGAGGAGAAATAGCTGGATGCTCCAAGAGAGTTGCTACGTGAACTCAGCGATTTCGAAGGATTACCGAGGATTCTCTGGTAAACAAGGCTCGGCAATTAGATGACAATCAAAGGCGAGGAAAAGTGTGTCGAGAGCCGAGAAAGAAACGGGTCAGCCGCAGGCTAACGAACACTCCTGTGCGCACCGTTGTACCGTATTTGTTATGCTTAACGGTTTCGTAATGAAGCGATCGACATCGATTCGTCAATTAACGACGGATCGAGATTTTTCGATAGTATCAAGATATTAGATGACCCCGTATATCCTAACAGTTACACTATAGCAGACTTATAAGTCCTTACACTATGATTGTCAAATACATTAGACTACTACGATGAAATGTTATGTTAATTTTGTATCAATCGATTATGCAAATAATTCTACTTAAACTCCAAATTGAAATGTGTTAAAAGTTTGAGGAAAATCACATGAAGTAACACTGCGACTCGTCAAGATTAATCATACAGCCTCTGAGCAGCTGTAAGCTGCACAACTATTTTTGTAATTTTTTCCAGACTATTAGTAAAACTCACCGAGCATGATCCAAGTCTCTCTTGTTGCCAAGTAACAGTGCTGTAAAGTAGGATGGCAAACGTAGATCGGCAAGCTGTTTCAGCAACCCGCGAGCTTCTTGAAAGCTTCGTTTACACGTGACGCTGTAAACGACGACAAAAGCCTCGCCCCACCGTATATGGGAGTAGAGACAGCCATTCTCCTGAAACCATAAAAAGCATCTACTTAAGAAAATAGATTATACGTCTACTTAATGAAAGCTATCGAAGTATGAGAAAGTATCGCGTATTTAATGTCTCTATGATTTCTCTATAACACGTGTTACGACTTGAGAAAAATATCCGTTTCAAATATCATTTGAATCATTTGATCAAATATCATTTGATCATTTTAAACGAATAACCTGATATCGGTCTCAAAGAATGATTTCAATTTATTTAACGATTTAACGAGTCCGAAACAGTTCTCTGCAAATAAAAAAATGTTGAGCCTACTTTTGACAAACGAACCTCTCGACCTTCCGACAACAGGAAGCAGCGAAAAAGGAGCGATAGCATCTTCCGAGTGTAAAAAAAAGAAAGAGCGAAAACATGTAGTCAGGAGCCAGAATGTTTCAGGTTTAACGACCCACGGAAGCTGTCGATTCTCGTGGTCGTTCCAATGGTTTCCCATTGACCTGGCACCGACAGCCGGCTGCAGGTAATTATTACCAAGGAACAGGATCGACGGGATCGTGATCATCGGTAGATCGGTGTATAGGAAGGTCTAGGCGCATTAGTCTCAACGAAGGCGAACGCGACCATGAACCTATCGATCTGCTAAACATCTGGTCACCATAATTGCCGCGAGACCATAAAGTTCGAGGACGTCTGGCACCGTGATCGAACAATAAAACAGTCTGACTCATACGGAAATGCGATATCGAATCTCCTCTAAATTTCGTTCCCTCAAGATCGACTTGACGTAAGCAAAATTGAAGCTGAGGAAAATTGAAATGGGGTTACGGTTTTAATTCGAGCTAACAATTAAGGAAGGTTGTACAACACAGTTTATTGTTTTTGAAATTTACAAATATACTTCTAGAACTATGATAGAATTCCGGAAATACGAGTAATTATTCATAAATGTTAATCGAATATCGTATTCAGGATCGAGCGAAGAATTGCGTGCGTTCGAGCATCGATTGTGCAACGCGTCATACGTAACCAAAAGAGTTACGAAACGGTGGTGCTAAAGTAAGTTCCTTTTGTATCAGCAATCTCGATAAAAATATCGTAACGAATCATAACGATTCCTGGAAAAGCCATGCAACTGACATTTTACTCGGCGATCATTTAGTTACGCGACATTTTCAAAACAGACGTTTTGCAACGATTACGTTGAGAACGCCTCTTTAACGGGTGCGTTCCACCGTTGTTTGCGCGTATTTGTAAAGTACGAAAATATGGGAAGCTCGATGCCAAGATCGATGGCGTGGATTTTGATTGAATATTACCGTAACGAAAGGGTTAAAGAGCAGAACGGCAGGGTTCAGTGTTTACGGAACTCCGTGGACAATTTAGTCGACAGAAACGAAGGAAGCGCGATCCTGTAATCGACGGGCACATTATTAGCGGACAATATCGCCATCTGGTAACGGGAATAGCTACAGATCGTTATCTGCGCCACGTACACCACGGGACATAACTTGTTCGCTACGATCGTTGCTTATCCCGTGGGATCGCGTGGGCGTTCAAGCGCGTGCTTTTCGCCCACCTGAATCGATTTCGAATCTCGCTGCCTCGTTTCGTCCTATCCGAGTGTCCTGTTAACGGTCAGGGCCCGTTAAAAAGAAACGGGAAACATCGATCTCTTTTCGCTCTCACGACTTTCCGCGTACAAATAAAAACACGCCGCAAAAATCGTTAATTTTTCGGTAATTCGCAGGTCTGTTTTCTAGCCACACGTCCGCTAGTTATTTTCAAGCGATAGCCGATAAATTTTCGAAGAAATTATATGGGGAAGCGAGGCACTCTTGTGTACACAGCAATAAATAGACGCCGGTGGATCATAAACGAAACCCGTTGCTTCGAGCAAGAACATAGAGGCTGCGGATGCACGGGGCGTACCTATGTTAAATTCGCTTCGAATCCTGGACATAGCGTGACAAGAAATTAGTCTCGGTTTTTGCTCGTACCTTAGATACTTTTCAAATACGTGGCTCGCTTCCTGACAGCTGATACGAGCCTTTTTTTGTCCGCGATGACTCGGCTGCGGCAATCAATATACACGTTAGTCTCACGGTTAATGCACGGGGAAAGTTTTCGTTTGGACAGCACCTAAGTGGCGTCTACCTTTCTAGCTTTTGCGCATCCACCTTCTCAAACTTATCCTCGTTAATGTCTTTTACCGACCTTCTGCATTCGAATTTTTATTGTCGACAAATAGCAACTTTTTTAATTGTAAAGCTAGATGAACTATTCTTACTGAAAGTGATCTAACAGCACTGTCTAAGTGGCGTCTACCTTTCTAGCTCTTGCGCATCCATACACCTTCTCAAGCTTCTTTTACCCTCGTTAATGTCGACCCTTTGCATTCGAATTTTTATTGTCGACAAATAGCAACTTTTTTAATTGCAAAGCTAGATGAACTATTCTTACTAAAAGTGATCTAACAGCACTGCCTAAGTGGCGTCTACCTTTCTAGCTCTTGCGCATCCATACACCTTCTCAAGCTTCTTTTATCCTCGTTAATGTCGACCCTTTGCTTTCGAATTTTTATTGTCGACAAATAGCAACTTTTTTAATTGTAAAGCTAGATGAACTATTCTTACTAAAAGTGATCTAACAGCACTGCCTAAGTGGCGTCTACCTTTCTAGCTCTTGCGCATCCATACACCTTCTCAAGCTTCTTTTACCCTCGTTAATGTCGACCCTTTGCATTCGAATTTTTATTGTCGACAAATAGCAACTTTTTTAATTGCAAAGCTAGATGAACTATTCTTACTAAAAGTGATCTAACAGCACTGCCTAAGTGGCGTCTACCTTTCTAGCTTTTGCGTATCCATACACCTTCTCAAACTTCTTTTATCCTTGTTAATGTGTTTTACCGATCCTTTGCATTTAAATTTTTATTGCTAGCAAACAGCAACTTGAAACTTTTTAATTGTAAAGCTAGACAAACTATTGTTACTAAAAATGATCTAACGCTGACCTTAAAAAGTACCCCTCCGAACCACGGGATATCGAAATTGTAAAAGAGCGGTGTTCGAAAAGGAATGGGTTAATTACCTGATCACGAGGTCGTTAACGAGCATCGAGGGGAAAATAATTAACGTCCGAGGTCCTTTAACGCGGTTCAAGTTTGCCCCGATGAAAAATGATTCCCTCGGAACGTCTCTTTGTTCGCGGGCCTCGGCCATCGTTATTTTTGGACGGACAACGAGACCGTTTAAACGATAACCGTTTTGACGTTCGCGCGGTTTATTTCGCGATGACCACGAGGTACGACGTCGATCCAGTGATCCCTCGAAAGCGTGTAACGCCACGTTTCCGTGAAACTCGATGGATTTCTAGATCCGCGCGATTCATCAAGCTTGTGTATTTTGCTTCGTTGGAATTTATAGTAAGCGGGGGCTCTGCTTCGGAATTTAATTCTGAAAATTTAGATAATTCTAATCGCGGAATTCTGGGAGATTAGAGGAAGACTGTTAAGGAATTTAATGAATAAACGTAGGAGTGTTTGGAACGTTGGTGCGTCGTAATTTTGTAAAATCCACGGACCATCAGCTTTTGTTTCCCTTCCGCGAAAACGATAAAAGCTATTTTCGCGATATCGCGAAAGTTGTAAAAAGGCTGGAATTATGTTCCTCTAAAGTTCGTGTGTGATTCGGAGCGGGAAAAAATACGGTACGATAATTTACAAAAAGTCACCCCGGTCGATGCGTGCGGCGATCCTCAACGGGGTATTTTGCCAGAAATAATTTATTTACTATTTTTACACCCGAACCAGTTACGTGCTCGCTATAAAATCCCTTTATAGATTCTTTGAAAATTCCTGAAACTACTTGGAGCATAACTTGAAATATCTAAAATTGCTTTATATAATTCTACAAATCGAATTGTCGAAATGATAGACTGTGGTCTCAGTTAATTGACTTCTTCCGTTCGTCCACTTTCGATCGGCAGATTTTTCATCTAAGCTTCACGATTCACTGATCTATCTACTCGGAATCTAACGGATAAATCATTTGTCTCAATGACATATAACATCTCATCGCTATACAGAAATCATTTGCTACAAGTCCGACAGAAAATCTCGATCTAAATCGTCGGAGATATCTACGTCTGAACCTCGCCATTTCGCCGTTCGCACGAAACAATGCCGTAACAATTATATAACGATAACACGACGAACTCATATATCACTGTATGCACAGATACGTATCAGAAATCGATCATCGATTCGACAAGGAAGTTGCATATCGAAGACATGCAACATCTCTCGAAAGTACTTAACCGGTTTCAAAGTTCAGGAAAAATCCGTAAGAAATCGTGCCACGAGGTTTCAAGTAACAAATCAATGAACTAGATCCATTACTAACCAATGCGTATTAGAAACAGTAACATTTACTTTTTGTTGTATCTGACCCAAGATGTAGGGTAATTAATAGGTGTATTACAAAATCGCTTACATGACACAATTACCCGAAATCGGCAAAACACGTGTATCGTATATCTGCAGCTAACTGTTCAGATAATCGGGACAGGGATGCAGGCCAGCCCGTTACGATGATTTATCGGATTATTAAAGGTGGCCGGAAACGCAGTCGTTAAATTCACTGGTCGGTTAATTATCAATTACGCAGAACCCACCCACGACAGATCGCGATCCTCCAGGCACGTTGTTTTGCCTCCAATAAACATTTATTTCGAGAGCGAAGAACAATACGAGAATTGGGGAAGTGTGCCACGAGAGGCTGTGCCGCACTCCCGCTGTTCGATCCTCGACCAAACACACCTGGACACACGCTGCGTCCCCCGGCGGTGCCTAACGTGCCTATCGCGAAAGCTGCAATTGCATCGTAAGTCGGTAATTTCACCTATAAGCTCGAATTTCACCCGACGACACTTCGCACGTTAGAAGCAACTAGGATTTCCGGTAAACTTGTTACGGAGCTAATCTTAGGTATAGACTTGCCTAAATACGATGAGAGTAATCATA